CATTGGACAATATCAAATGCATATAAACATATGTATCCTGATATTAAATGGACGCTACAAATGAGACAGAAAAACACAGGTATATGAAATATTGAATTACTTTGAAATAAATGATTAAATTACTTTGAAATAAATAATTGAATTACTTTGAAATAAATGACTGAATTACTTTGAAATGAATAGCATTTGGATATATTTATTATTAGAATAAAAAAAATAGAATGGTTGTTAAAAATAAAGAAGGTTAATCAGCAAACTGATATTGGAATGTTATTATTAAATTATTATTCGTTATTTAACAGATGATATATGGCACAATGTAGAAGATAAGAATTTTCTTTCAAATTCTGGTCAAATCTTCCAACAAGTAGTATTAGATTATTGTAAAACATATAGAAGCAGTGTGAGGTTCTGTTCGGGTGAAGTTTGTTCTCGACCTGTAGTCAGTAATGGTGTAACAGTGTTGAGCGAACCTGATATGCCACATATAGATATACTCCACAAAACGATGCAAGGTTCCCAGGTAATTCAAATATAAATAATCCAACTAAATAAAATGATTTCTTTGTATATGTCCAATATTTATACATAATCAAATATTCAATTTGCAGCTCACTACAGTAATAGTTGCTGGTCGAATGCCAACACAATCACCCATAAAACAACTTAACGTTAATATGACGTTGTACCAACACATTAATGAGCACAGTGACGGCATGTAACCTAACGAAGTAGCCATACAATTAACACAGTATGCACCTAAAATCTGTCAATGAGCTTCTAAATGTAATCTGATATGAAGTTCTGATTGATTATAATACAGTTATCATTTCATGTTTTATTCCATATCCCAGTTAGATGTTAGCTTGACTTACAAGAGTAATACCGAAGATAAAGTGTGTTCTGTTGAGTCTACCATAGATAAATATATGTGGAGTATAACAGATAATAAACACAATAGTCATCTATTTACTAAATGGAGTAAAGTAAACAATGTACAGAGAATAAGCGAGATAAAGGTAATAGTCTGACTTCTAAGATTGTCTGTATGCTTTTATAATTCTGTTACAGCTGTATACATTATGGGAATGCCCATAGAAAGAAAAAACAAAAAAATGTAACTGTGTTAATGCGCAACTACCAAATGTATCAGGTTCTCAGCATAAGTGATGTGCACCCAAAAAAATGGTTGCGTTTAAGCAAAAATATATGTGTGTTGTTTTTCATTTCAACAGGATATCTATGTAACTACACGAACCTATTTCGGGGATCGCGTAGCTAAGTGGGTAAGACTAGCCTGGAGGTCGGGTGTTCGATCCCTGCATTGGCGGAGAATGTTCATCCAGATTTTCCGGCGTGGTTCCCCCCTTGTGAGTGATGCACGACGAAGGGCCTGACAAGGACAGCTGTCTAGTCGTTCGGATGGGACGAAAAACCGAGGTCCCTTGACAGTTGGAATTCGATATAAGAGTAGGCCGTAGTGCCGCTGTCCTGACAAAATTTCCCTAATAGCACACTGTATGGCGTATGCCCGTCTTCATTAGCCCAGTTCGGAGCAGAACAGTAGGACGTCAAACCCTATTTCATTTCAACACGAACCTATTTCATGTAATATTATTCTATTTCTTAGTTTCAGTTTAGCATTAATTTAGATGGTGAAGTTGATTTTAGTGAATGTAGAAGATTGGCTGTAAGAATATTTAATAAAGCTGGTTTATCAACAATAATATCTTCGGATATTAAAAACTGTTCATCTGTAGATCCGGTATTAATTATACCGGCTATTGTTATAGATGCTATAGGACAACCATTAAATAACGGTAAGTATTTTTTGAATATATCGTGCAATTGAAATAAACGCCCCCGCCCCCCCCCCCGCCACACACACACCCACACACGCGCGCGCGCAGTTTTGACAGACCCGATAATGACATTTACATCCTTTTATTAGAAACGTTTGACGACAATGAAGATGTTGTTTGTTTTGTATTTCAGATCCCAACACAAATGACATCGGAAAGTCAATTTCTCTGGATCTGAACCTAGCCTGGTCTAAACAAGATGTGGACTATACATCTTATAAAAATATTATATCAGCTGTATGGCCTACATTAAGACATAGAAACTATACGTGGGGTTTACTGGAAGACCCGGCATTCTCTATTCTAACACATTTTACTCAACCGAAGATGATGATAAGAGATCCTTGTTCACATCCAGATGTTATACAGTGTGGACAAACCGGTGAGGGAGTTTCGGTAATCTTCAAAATAGCATTGGTTCCTTGTGCTATTTTTTTTTACTTTGAAGGATTCTTCGTTGACTTCATCATTTTAATAAATACTTAAATTTTACCGCATTTCTTTATAATTTTTTTCGCAGAAAACGAATACATCAATGTTTTAACTCAAAATACTTTAAAACACGGAAGACGGTATTATATCTGTATCCATGCTGATGCTGTAGTTGCTGGTCATGAAAAATGGACGGAAAAATTGGAAGAAGTAAACTCTTGTAGTGATGGAGTAACTGTTGATTTGACTCCACCAAATGGTGGTCGGGTGTGGGTGGAGAACTTGAACGAATTTAAATACCAGGTAATACTGCTGTATTAATATAGTCGAACCCCGTTATGGCCATCCCAGTATACTCGAACACCTATAATAGGTGGTGTGTCATTCATTCCTGTTGGCCCGATTCATAGTGTTTCGGTATAATGGTCCAATTCTCGGATAATATGTGATATATTTATCCGTTGTTTCTAGTAAGTCTGGTTAAGCCCACCTTTTGTTTTATATAACTTATAGCGGTATTAATATACTTTGTACAAATTGTTTTTCGGGATAATGTTTCGATCCCTGTATATTCGAACACACATGAGATATGGTGTGTCATTCATTCCCTGTTAGCCCGATTAATTGTGTTTCGGGGTAATGTTTCCGTCCTCGAATAATATGCTGTTTAGCTATCTGCTGTTTCTGGTATTTGATTAGTAAGCCTTTTGCATTATACAGTTCGAAATATATATGAATATATCATTTTATTAAGTAGTTCTTATGTACTCAGCGGTTTTGATATACTTTACACCAGTACTGAATTAATGTTTTTGTGATAGTTTTATATGCATAATCCAATATATTATTTCAGTCATCCGACAGTGATGTAGCTGTCTACTGGGATAGTTTTCTTGACGTAGAAGAAAATGGTGGAAAAACTGTTCATCCAAGTGGAATATCAAAATATCATTTATATATCGGTAAGGATAATTTATTTCAAGGATTTGACAGGAATCGCTGAATCAACAATATAATATTGGATGAACATGCCTTATTGTCAATCTGTAAATATGCTGTTCTTTACATTCTGTAAATTTTCTTTTACATATAAAGGTTCTATAGAGGGAGGTGAAGATATTGTAACTAAACATAATGTTGGTTTGATAAATCATAAAATATTCCACCATCTTTCTTTACAAAATGGCCACACGTATTACGTCACTGTAGAAGGTAAGTATAAATTCGTCTTTCTGTTTCATAATTAAAACAATTTCTGGCTTAGCAAACAGAAACAATTAAATTGAATTTATTCATGTATTGCATTCGTCTAAATAATTATATAGCTATATACCATTCTACTATACAAAATAAATTGATTTCTATTGCCCGCTTAGCAGAATTGCTCGTTCGTTAGTGATGTCATCAAAACTATTTTATCTCTCGCAATTAAATTATATTTGTTAATCATGTATTATATTCGTGTAATTAATTATAAAGCTATATACCATTCTTGTATTGCCCGGTTGTTAAAATTGCTCGTTCGTTAGTAATATCATCAAAACAATTTTATCTCTCCCAACCGCATTCACCCTCGTTGGTTCCATATTTTTATTATTTTTTTTATTTTCAGCAATTGATTTTGTAAACAGAACAAAAACCGTTTCATCAGAAGGTTTCACAGTTGATAATAGTCCACCAGAAACTACATCTAAACCTATACAATTTACTAATACATATATACAGTCAAATGATGTATTGTCTGCGTGGTAGGTGTATATACAATCTAGTGTTAGTAAACAAAACAAAACGAAAGCCGTCAACCACAGCAAAAGTATTTGGTTACCGGTGTTTCTGAAGGCGTGAAATAGTAGTCCGAGCTTGACACGTGTACGATCCCTTTTACCATTTATAGCTAAATGGATCGATGCTTTGGACTTCACGAAGACGGGTGGCCCAGCAAAGAACCGGGTCTGGTCGTTTGGATGTAATAAAACAGAGAGGTCTGATGTAAAAGTAAAAGAACAGAATGCTTCGGTTTCCCTTGGCAGAAATTTAGTTGTAAATAATGTGTTAAAGAGTCATTTTATTTGATTTATTTATAGTTCAAGTGGATCATTCCTTTTACATGATTTTTTTACAGTTGGAGTGGATCACTTAAAGACACCGAAAGTGGTATAAGTCAGTATCGATGGGCAATAGGTACTAGACCAGGCCATCAAAACATTAGGGAATATATGGTAACAGATAATGATTGTGATGAAGCTAACCTAGAACACAAATTACAAGATGGACACGTTTATTACATCACAGTTCAGGTATATCTCATTTTGCATTACGTTTTTGGATAGAAAAAATAGTTTCATGAATTATGCTCGATGTATAGATCAGTTGGGAACAAACATTGTGTTTTACTATTTGTCCTATAATTATTTCAAATAAATAGACACTAATCGTTAAGAAGGTATGCTATAACTGATGTCATTTCCAATAGAAACATTTTCAAATTCATGCTATATATATGCTGGTCACATTTGTATTCTATATACCAATTTTAGAATAACTTTTTGTCTATTGTTGTGTTTCAGGCCATTAACGGTGCAGGGTTATCTACTACATTAATATCTCGTCCAGTGACAGTAGATACAACGCCTCCTACTACAGGACATGTCATCGATATTCTTAATACAAACTATACCGAAGATGACGTAGATTATATAACTAACCAATCACCACTTTCTGTTAGATGGCAAGGATTCCGTGATCCCCATTCATCAATGAAGTACTATACTGTTAAAGTTGGTACCTGTGATGATTGTGATGACATAATTCCAGAAATCAAAACAGGAATAACTTCACGTAAGGAAAATATTATTACAAATGTTTTTGTTTTAAGTACAATCCAACTTTTCTTTCATTGCACTATTGATGGTATTCCAAGAAGATGTAGTTAAGTTTTATTATACAAATATGGTAGATGTTCTAATAAATTTTAACAACCGATACATATTTCAGATTTTACCTTTCCACCGTCCAAATTTACTCCTGGAACAAAATATATCACCACGGTAACAGGGTGCAATATGGCTGACATGTGTACGTCGGTCACTTCTGACGGGGTAATAATTGACGTGACACCACCGGACATGGGAAGAGTTGTAGATGGAACGAAAGATTTAGATGTAGAATTCCAAGCAACCAGGTAATTGAAACACGATTATCGAGTCTATTTATTTTATAGACATAAGGATCCAAGAATATTATTGGATCACGGTTATCAAGTCTCTTATCGCTATACGAGACCACACCACACCGGTACATATTGTCTTAAAATGCATTTTACAGTAACTCGTTTTAATTAGATGCTTGACATTCTTAAAGCGGATATGGGCAGCTTGCGTAGTTTTATATAAGGGTGTTGCTATTATTATCTTACAGAATCGGATTCTACTATTGAATAGGTTAACATAATGTGCAACTTTTAAGAATTCTCATCCTGGTTTCAGAAACTTTGTTGGCGCCAAATGGTATGGGTTTAAAGATGCACAATCTGGTATAGCGAGATATGAATGGAGAGTAGGGACAACCATTGGAGGGGAAGAGTTACTTAGCCCTCAAGTTTTACCAGTGGTGGAACTGGCCTATAAATCTAATTTACCTGATAATAAACTATTGCCTATTGATACTAGAATTTATATTACTGTTAGATGTTACAATAAAGCAGGTATGACTGAAATTATTTTGATAACCCTAGTGATGCTTACAAAAACAATAATTTGATTTACATCGTACTTGAACAAGCACTACTGTTGTGGACCCAATATAAAAGTTCGCAATATGCTGTAGCCATCCTCGGTACACTAACCCCTGGGTTAATCTATTGGTGGGGGGGGGCATGTTTTCAAGTTGTCGATTGTGCTATTTTTATTGACCAATCCCATAAATTGTTAATTGCAAAGGAAGTTTGCAAAGGGAAGTAACTCTCATCGGATAAAGTAAGCAAAACCGCAAGGACTCCCCTTCAAGAGACAGGGTTATTATTAGCCAGAATGTAGCCTAAATTATACTTAATGCGTATTTATTAACACCAATTATTATATAATATATTAAGGAAGACGGACATAACAGAATGAAACATTTCAGACAAAGAATGGATAGTAATAATAGATGCTTTGCATATTTGAAATCAACGGAACGTACTACAGATTTTGATAATACAATTAAATATAAATGAATTAAAAATATATAGATTATTTACATAAATCATTCAGTAGATGGACATGAATGGGTTATCTACGAAAGCGAAACGAGGGTCGTGTCATTAGTAAGACTGGTCTGTAAACTGTTTTTTGATTGTTTCGTAGAATTTAGCCACAATCAAGGCCAGGGAAGATAATTTGAAATTAAGCCAGGGTATCATGGAGTAGAACGGAATGAGACCACTGGGGATAGCGAGGATGTGCTCTAGTCGGCTTTAGGGACGGCCCTGTTGTTATATAAGTAGTTATAAATAGAGTCCTAGTCAAAAGAAGGTTATCTGCCTTGCTAAAATTGTTTAGAGTTATCACCACTAAGTTAACGTCCACTAAATTCAAACTATTTCAATTCGAGACTAAATATGTAAAGGAGATGAATATTGATCACAACTGATGTCTTTTTATACGCCCACATTTTCACCACTCTACATGTCACAATTTTTATCCGATTTTGATGAAACTTGACATATTGGTCTATCGCCCACAGATCACGGCTCCTGTCGAAATTGGCATGTATCGAATTATGGCCCCTGATTGTACAAAATCGCATTGGTTTCTTTTCATCTCTTGCAAAATGTGGGCATATCGTGCCTGGCAACCTCTGGGTTAGTCCAATTGGTTATGTGTGTTACATAAATTGCCTATTAGTCATTTAGCTATCCTGTGACCTCACAAACACAAACTATAATTTAGCATTCCGTGGAATGGAATGTGGATCCAGAAGGCTTTTATAGTATGATTCGAGAAGGTGCCAGCGTTATCTCCTCTAAACCCGGGTTTATTTTTCAGACGAATCCACATCTTTGTTTTGTTAGAACTGCATAGGATTACTATTATATTTATATCATCATCGTTTGTATTATTTGTGCATTTCAAAGCCGCCACTGCACCTAGATTTTATTTTATTAGGTTTATACAGCGAAGCTACATCAAATGGTTTTAAAATCGATACAACATTACCAGTAGTGGCGCAAAGGGCAGTTCCCGTTTCATCGTTTAGTTCTATTTTACCTTCAACTACCATATCAAAATCTAGTATTAAAATTGAATGGAAGTTTACTGATGATGAATCGGATATAGAAAGACAGTACATTTCTATTTCACCCCATTTATTGGGAGATTTCACTTCTTCAGCTATGGAGGTACGTCCTATTGATAATTTTAAACATGCTTTGTTTTTTAAAACATGAAATATTTTTATAAGAAAATAGCATACCTATATTACATTCAGTTATTTGAAAAAAAATGCAGTGCCATTACCACTTTGTCTTATTGTGCCTCTACAGTCAATTAGGATAAAACTTCAAGGATCAATTGACTATGGAAGACTTTGTTGGTTAACTATGTTTTTTATATTTTTATAATATCCACAATGCACAGGTTACATACAGGCAGCTACACACCAGCTATGACAAAAAATATAAGCTAAATATAAGTTATCTAGCACTTAGAGCTTGTTCTCACTTAGCGTGTGTTCTGTGGCGAGAGCCATTCCGGCCTCTAAGCCGAGGAGGTTGTGGATATGATGTTCCCCTAGGAACCCCGAAAGATATCTTTCCTATGATCTCTAAAAATGATCTCTGAAGGGACATTTAACCTTGCTCTTTCTTATATAGAAAGTATAGATGTGTCAGCTATTAGGACGGGACAATTACCATTGTTGGGTGAGTGTTTCGTATGGCTGCTGTTTAACGTCAGCGTTATTCTATTTACTTGTACTGATCTGTGCATCAAATGTCTAGACGATAGTAACCCCTTTGCAGAAATGGATACTGGCATAACTGTCAGTGAGTGAGTCTAAGAAAATGAAATTTTGCGAAATACCTACTTAGCCCATTTCTCGTTGTCACCTATTTGTTTAACCACTTTAATATATAAAACAGAACACCTTTCATAGAACTAAAATAACCCCTATATTATTACATTATGAACAGTGACAGGGTAAAATTGTATAGTTGGAATACTTTTAATTTTAGGGAATATATTACTAATTTTTCTTCAGATTCCAAGTGTGGTAACAGAGTTTGCGTTTTCTGGTCTCGCTCTACACGACGGTAGTAAATATAAAGTTAAAGTGATTGGTTGTAATTTAGCTGGTTTGTGTCTGTCGAGTGTTACAGATGATATACTAGTTGATTCTACACCGCCTACCAGAGGTACGTGTATTGATTCTTTTGATTGAGAGCGCTAATGGTTATGCATGCATAGAAGAACAAAGGTCGTGATACCTGATCACTAATTCACGATCAAAGTAAATCCAAATACATAACAGAAAGCCGGCAATTTTAATTCATTTAATTTATTTTCCACTCTAATATTGGTAAGTAATTTGATATTTATAAACAATGTGAGCTCGATGTCGATTTGCAGACCATTTTGTTTATGATTTTTTTTTAGTGATATGATAATCATAAACGATTTTAACTCCATCTCATTTTACTTGTCATCATGCAGATTTTTGAAGTTTTACCATCGTACAAAGTGTGTATCTTCTCAAAGAAATATTTTGTGAATGTTATTTCAGGTATGTTTGCTATTGATACTGACCACGCCGCTAACTTAAACAGAGATAGGAATAACTGGAACCACTGGTCTACTACGTCTATTAAGTTAGCATGGTTGGGATTTGCCGATCTACATACTGGTATAACTGAGTATAAAGTCAGTGTTGGAACCAAACCTTTCCTTACCGATCTCAACCAGGCACGTATCTCTGATTATAGTAATATGTTGTATCCGTGAGCAAAATATAATAATTGAAGTAAATTAGCAGCATTCAAACACACATCACCTTTTAAATTAAATACTTGGCTTCGGTCTCCAGTTAATCTTAGTTAATGTGACATATTTTCTATACTTTCACTAAATTCGTTTCTGAAAATTGTTTTAAACAGGGCGATCAACAAACCACGTTTCAACATGTAGCTGGAGATAATTTTGATGATGAAGGAATGGTACAATCAGTTACAATAACTACCAAGACACTTCATATGGGCAATTCTGTTTTCATATCTGTATGGGCTGTTAACGGGGTAATTATTGATTTCTAGTGTATTATAAGCAGTATAAGATGAGAAATTAGTTAAACCCAAGGAATGTATCACAGCTGTCAAATAATACTGTCGTAGACAAAATTGCCACTTCCCCATCAGTACCTATCAACACAACCACGAATATATTCTACTACTAATTGTTTTATTGTGTTACATATCATTTCATTTTTATTTTTGACATAGGTTGGATTAAAAAGTCAGCCTGCTCATTCTGAATTTGAACTTGTAGAAGGAGGAATGTTAGATTTAGTCAGGAGATGTCAACCGTATAATTGTCTCGGACATTGTGTTTGTACTGCACAAGACAAATCATGTTCAGATGCTGAAAACTGCAGAGACATCTCAACAGGTATATATCTATCAACTTTATTTAAAATTATTCATATTAATTAATTCTTTGTGAGCTTTGCTCCTAGGTTTACCTTCACATTCGCTACAGTGTTTAGTCTGTCTTAAATAATTCCAGATTTTATATGCCACCCTATACTTGTATTTCTATGTTTTTGTATATTTGATGCTATCTGCCATGTGATTGATTTCTTATTTATAATCATCCTTGCAGGGAATCCAAATAATATTGTCCAAGTTACTGACATGACTAATTTGATGTCATCTGATGCTGCACAGACTTACTACACATCGTCTGATAATTTTGTAGCTGCCAGATGGAGGATAATAAACCCACAAGGCATCTCTCCTATAAGGTAAATTAAATTAAAGTATATTATACCGACAAGGTCTTGCGAATATAAAGGTAATTAAATCTATTTAATCAACCAACACGGTCTCTCGTCTAAAAGGTAAATTAAACATCCCCAACCTTCATGACTAGAGGAAGCTGAATATATGTTTTAAACGCAGTTGATGATGATGATGATGATGACGGGTGTGTAAGACTGAGGTTCTAGGCTTCAGCCTGCCAAGTCCATTTTAGTTCATTATTTTATTAATGAACGCTATAGAAATTACTAGGAATTCAAACTCGGCATATATTTTAGATATGAATGTAGTGCCGGATATTCCAGTGAAAATTCACCCAGTGGAATATATGACACTGATACAGAAAGGACATGGTTTGATGTTGGTGAAAATACCGAAACTATAATAACTTTACCTACAGGTATACCTTTTAAAAATTTTATTCATTTCTTTCAAGAAACAATCATTAATGCTGTATATTTATTAGTATGCAATATTAACAATGCACACAGTCTTCATTAGACTATCTCATCAATATATTTAACTATAAACACTGAAACATTTAAAGTGGTGCAGTATGGAATGCCTAACAAGGACGGATGTCTAGTCGTTCGGATGGAATGAAAAACCGAGGTCCCACGCATACAATGGCGTACATGTAAAAGATCATTTGGCAGTTGGAATTCGATAGAAGAGTATGCCATAGTGCAGCTGACCGGGCAAAAATTCCCTTATTGCACATTGTATGGCATACGCTCGTCTTCATTAGCCCAGTCGAAGCAGAACAGTGGGACGTTGAACCCCATCTCATTTCATTTCATTTCTATAAAACAAAAATCTTCTTGCTTGTAAAGGTGTGCCACAGGTGTCGGCTTTATGTCCCTTTGTATTTCTAGTACATGTAATTTCGTAATAATATTTTATGTATTCCAGCTAAGGTTTTAGATAAGTCTATACCATATAGTGTATTTGTGAGGGTATGGTATAATACAAATCAATATGCGATATATAAGTCTCCCGGCATTACATCACTGACGTCTGCGCCTAGTGTCAGTCACATAGCGACAGCTGCTGTAAGTACATACAATAAGTTAAAAACACAAAACTATTTAATTAAAACTGTTATTAGAACGATTACTTTTTTATTCGTTTTGATTAACCTATTTTAAATAGAATTATTGATTTGATTTTGAGATATATTTCTCCATTTTTTATCCAGATAAAAGAATTAGAAACTATATCAAGTGTTAAGGATTTAGATTACCAAACATCAAGCAATCAGATTATTGTTGGTTGGAAGAATAAATTTAGAGGAGGAATTCATGGATTCGATTATTTTAAGTCTTATATAAGCACACATCCACAAGGTGGGTTTTAATACTAACATAATTACATTGAATGACATTTGCGAATCAGAATGTTTAAAGGAAACAAGTATTTATTATTTTTATGACAGCATTGTTAAAATGAGGTTTCCATTCCTAAGGACACTTTTAATCACTCCCGCCCACTCTTATTTTCTAGTTTAGTGTATCTTAAAGATACATTATATAACAGCTAGATCTTTCTTTTAGCCGAAAATGATATATAAATTATTAGACATTTATTCACAAGAATGCCCATACTCGACTTTTTAGAATATCGGAATTTGATGATTTGAAGTGCGATAATCGAGACATTGTTTATTATTGTAACAATGGTAGTAATGAAAATCGAGACTACGCTATTCTTATCAAAACTTCAAACATTGATAACTTCGTTCAGAATAGAAAACTTTGACTGAAATTTTCAATATATTGCCTTTTCACTATTTATCTTGAAACCATTATAGCGAGTACTGTTAGCTCTTTATGTTAAATAATGCGTCTTTTAATAATGTAATCAATAGCGATTTTGACTTCTTTTTCTGAAATGTAGGCCACAACGTTCATCAGTCATCTACAAGAGTAGCTGGAAATACTAGTATCTATACAGCTACTAATCTAAATCTACAAGATAATAGAGAATATTATAGTACTGTACTAGCTTATAATAAAGCAGGATTACTGAGCTGGGCCAATAGTGATGGCATATTAATAGACAATACAACACCCACTTCCGGTATTATACATGATGGTAATGGTAAGTAAACTATTGAAATTATTGAATATATGTCAAATTACCCAACATAGCTCATAGATACTGTGGCTGATAACTGACATGAAAAATAATATCATTTTTTTTTTAATATTCACCCTAGTCAATTTTAATATAATTTGTTTTTTTGTATAATTTTCACCCACATAGACTTATTTAAGACGATTTTAATTTTTTAAATCTGGTACATATTTCCCAGTTATTTTCCTTTATGTGATAAGTTTATTATTTATGCTTTTTATAGACAACCATAATAAATTGGGGGATACGGTCTTTTATTATTTCATATTTAACAGATATCTATGATAAAGATTACCAATACTCTACAACAGTTATATCATCATCATGGTATGGGTGTACTGATAGTGGTACTGGTATAGTTAAATATTACTGGTGTATTGGTACTGGTATTAGTACTACAGATTGTAATATACACGACTGGAAGAATGTAGGATTAAATACTAGAGTGTCTGTAAACCTAACCTCACCTTTAAATCATGGTAGGCATTCTAATACAAAGTTTCCATATTAATTGAATCCCAATTTCCGTCAGATAAGAATTGGATTAAGTAAATAAAAATCCTTTCAATATCGTGACACTATGTATTCTACAGTAGGGATTAATATATCACTCGTCATATTGTTTTCTTGACTCGACAATTACGATACCGGTCCCCTGCACTGGTATAGTGAACGAGAATAAGATAATGAAAAAGGTTTCTTTTATCTCTTCAATTAACTGTAGAAAGAGCCCCCCTCAAATATATTATACCACAAGCCATCTCTTCTTTAGAAGAAAGTTTCTGAATGCTTTTTTTCCAATGCGATCTTCTATTATCAAAGTATTACTGCCACCGTAACAAATACCGTTACTGTATTTTATTTTTATAGGTATAAAAATTTATAATAAAGTGTATGCTGTAGATGGGAGTGGGTTGAAATCTGATGTAGTAGTGTCTGATGGTATTACAATTGATACCACGCCCCCAGTACCGGTTGATATAAAATATATTGGAGAAAATCTCATCGCCAATCCATCATTTGAAGAAGGCGTGACGGAATCAAATAAGGAATGTGATGACCAACCACCAGCTCCTTGGTTTAAAGACACCACCTCTTGTATTAAAATCATCCAATCACAACCGTCCGTTTCAAACGAAGGCGAAACATATATAAAAGTGAGAGGTCATATTCAGCAAACAGTGTTTAATTTAAACACCCAAAGTGCTTACCATGTTATTGTACATGTCGGATACCCACATGACGTTAGCATTCAGCATCACAACGTGGAAGGTTTCGTGCAATTCGGACAAGAAACTCACACTTTCAGCCTTGACCCAGAACGATGTCAGGGGATATGTACCATCGACCAACAGCCATTAATATTATGGAATAAATTTACTTATGTATTCCATCCAAGAGAAGCAAGAGAAGTGATAAGAATTGGTACAAGTAAATTACATATGATATTAGCTGTAGATGATGTATATGTACAACAAGTTAATTATATAGATATAACACGTGATTCTAATCATTTAATACATCATACAGTGTTTAGACCTTATTGGTCATCTCTTCATCTTACCTGGCATTTTAAAGATGATCAAAGTCCTATTACAGATTATCGATGGGCGCTAGGTGAGTTTAGTTTGAATACATTTATTACTATATTATGTAAATATATCTGTTACTAGTTAAGTAATACATTATTGTTTATATCATATCAGTATTTATTTATAACTAACGTCTCCTTTCTTCGTAGATTTTATTAGAAATCGAGTTGATTTTGGTATCAGTATATGTTTACCGATTATATTGAAAAATTACTCAGGGAGCATTCTTCTCTTCTAAAATCCAGGAACCGTGAAAGGTGGAAACCAGATTCGGTCGTTCACAAATGTTGGCAGAAATCAGCAAGTTACAGCATCCGGTCTCCAATTAGCCCATAATACACTACTTTATCTGACCGTGATGTCAACAAATGGCGCCGGACTAACAACTGTCAGCCAATCAGAGAGTATTGTTGTCGATATGACTCCGCCAATAATATCAGAGATAAACGATGGTATAGGTAAGAAATTAAATGGTTATTGTGAGGTACTTTAATGGAAAATATTATTGGCCACCACAATGAAATATCAGGTATTTAAATAAATTGAAAGAACCTATGTTCATGGTAAAAACTTAGTTGTAACTTGGTAGTCCTTTACTCGTCACTAAACCAATCAAAGTTAACATTGTCGAAGGTTTAAGCTTTGGTTTATATCAAAACCACATAACCGGTGTCATCAAAATTGTGAAAGAAGAATTCACACCCACGTGATGGCACCGAAAATTGTTTCTTGTTTAATATATTAAAGGAGCTAAATCGCTAATATTTGGGACCTACAAATTGACACAAATAGGTCGCAACCTATATAATAATTATATATGAATGTAAAAAAAATGATTTACATTCAATCGTTTCCGTTTTTACTTTAATTTCAAAGCAGTTATGTTCGGATATGCCAGAAGTCTCAATCGAATGACAATCTCTAGCGTCTGGTTATTCCAGTCTGCACCGATAGTATTTTTTGCGCATGCTCTCCAGATAAAAATATGAGGTCACCCTTTGACATGACTTGTGAAATATGTTAAACCTCGTTCTCCGAGTCGCTTTTTACAAATTGCGCTGAAATGCATTATGGTACGCGATTCGTGTACCAATCGTAAAATGTTTATTTTGTCTTAAATATTGGATATCAGAAGCCCATCTTTTGTCGGTAAGATCACAACACCAATGTTGATTAAAATTGACAAATAATTCATGTTTTCATTATCGAAGGTTTTGGATGATATCGAGTTAGAGACTTGGCTACTTTAACTTGTCTTTCTCTGCTGTTGATTTAAATATGTTTTGTTCATTTTAGCGAATGATGTAAATTTCCAGCTGACGAAACGTGTATCAGTTAATTGGGAAATAGGAGATCCAGAATCAGGAATAGAATATTGTCAATGGGCTATAGGTAATACTTTAAAATTTTCAACGTTGTAATAAAGTAGTTTGTGAATGGGTTATAGGCAAGATTCCCCTCGTAGCACACTATATGGCGAATGCCCGTCTTTATTAGCCCAACCAGTGTAAAACAGTAGGACGTTATCCACATTCATTTTGCATTACAACATATAACAATGACGTATCTCTAAGTCGAAGGTCGAATGTAATTATTGTTATTTTCTGCAACATACAATCTATTATTTGTATCAACTAGACTACATGTAGGTTATTGGATTATTCACACGTGTATACATTTATCAATTAATGTTTTATATACAAGGTTCAACGCAAGGCGGTGTTGATATACAGCCATTTACTCCTGTACCAGATAAACAATCATTTGTTCAAGTTGAACTCAGTGTTGATCAAATACAGAACTCTAAACTAGTTTATTCTACTGTAAGATGTTATAATAAAGCTGGATTGCCAACTACAGCTACTACTGATGGCGTTCTGGTTATAATCAAAATGGCTGCCATAGCGGACGGTCAGATCGCTATTCATGAAGATGGAGTATCTGCATATCCGGTGAAGGATGATTGTTATCCAGTGACTAATAGTTTACGATTAAAATGGGATTTAGAAAATATCAGAGTTGAGACCAAGTCTATAAAGGTATATATCTTTTAAGAAAAGGGGATATTTTAGATAATTGGCACTTTTTCATAAGAAAACGATTTAGTGTTTCGGTTTAGAATAACCACCCTGACTGTTATTACAAGTATTAGATTTATGTATTTTATTACTAGGTATCAGTGTATGGTCAAGGTTATAATTTAGATAAAGAAGTTCGAGTTACAGAGATTGGTTATAACCAGGCTAAATTAAGAAGTTTATCACTACAACCTAACTCTAACTATAATGTTAGTGTTTCTACTATTAATGTATTAGGAAGACAAGACAATTCTATATCAACAGTAATATCATCTGTAGCACAACCTCCTATTTTACAAGGTTTGTATAAGTCATTCTGCCAATACAAACATTCATTTTTGCTCTACGATGTGTAATATTATCCGCGTGTAACAAAACGGCTTTACTTTTTTGATTGGATTATGCCAGAAATTGGATTCAGTTTGGGGTATCATTTATTTCGTTTATGAAGTGGAGTTCGAAAACACTTTAGGGAAACATTGCAGCCGTACATTTGCAACGATAGCGCATTTAACCAGATGAACATTGTTCTTGTCCTGTGTTTAGAAAGATGCTAATTTTCTTAATATTATTTGAATTTTATCATGCAGTGGAACCACGTCGAATGGACTGTACAATGTGACTACTGGTTTATATATTGAATGGTATATTCTGAATGAATAAAGTTACTATTATTACTACTCTATATATTTCAGCGGGTTCAAAATTACTAATTTCCAGATCATTTGATGGTAAATCAATGGAAATGTCATGGAGAGATTTATTTACGTCCGCATGGAAGAACCTGTATTATGAAGTCAGTTTAGGAACGTCCCTGGGAGGAGCGGATGTTATGCAATGGCAGGAGACAAAAGTTGCCTCCCTTACCATCCAGATGCCTGATATATCGGAATTACCAGAATTATATTTAACAATAACAGCGGTCGACCCCTGCGGCCTTTTCCTACATTATAATCATACCATTGTACTTTAACATACTGATGTTATTATTTCAAAATATCTTGCTGATTACACTATTTTGCTTGAATACACTATTTTGCCTATAACGTTTTTTAGGACTTGGATTGTTCGTACTTGGTTTTATTTTATTTCTAGATTGTTTCTACAATATTACCTAATGCAAATGATTGTGATTTGTTTCCCCAATATTTTTAAAAAATATATTTAACACACTGCTGTCAAACATTATAATTTATTCCTACATTTTCATACAATAAATATATAAATATTTAACACTGGAATTTCCCGTCACTATACTTATACAGCAAGTATATTCAACGTTGGTCATCGTAGATCTTTATAATTCTTTCCTGCATTATAAACCACCGGGTTTCAAGCGTTTGACGTATAAGAATATATATTCCACGGCGTATCAAGCGGCTGGAAAACTTAACTATAATAGTACGTGCACGGGGTACCATGCGGGAGAAATCATATTCTGGAATAAGCTTCTAGGTATCAACTAGGTAACAAGTAGTCTCAGAGTCAACTACTTAATTATCCACGTATATTCCACGTGGTGTCTATAAGGTGTAATCTTTTTTCTAGAATGCTGTAAGTGGTATCTACTGGGAAAAAAACGGGAGTAATCTCTTCAAAGGACAGATCAAGCCGCCGAAATCGTTAACTAGACAGTACGTTACGCAGGCAAATGATTGAATTAGAATAGTTCACAGTTCTTTGATGGATTTTGTCGTATCTACAAAGGTCTTCGGTGTGTCAAGCATATGGACTTTTAACTAGAGTAATACTAGCTGTGACGAGCGAAGCCATCTTTTGTTAGAATAGTTCTATGGGTGTCTAATGCCAGCCCCGAGTAATCTCGTTCTAAATAATTCGTTTTGCGTACTTGTTTTTACACGCCCACATTTCAGAAAGGGTGTATTATGTCGTCACCTATGTCTGTCTGTCCATCCATCAATAACACGACAGAGGTTGCAGTGTTTAATGTGTAGCGCATTGGGGAAGTGATGGGAAGAATCTCAATAACATTCAGCTTTCGCGAACCTCTGTTACCATCCTCTCGTTTCCGAAAATCTAGTTTACACAATAGGATCTACGGTCTGTAATGAATATTTTTCAAATTAGGCGTGACGTATATTGTTCATAATGGAACGAACTCTCGATTTTCAGCCCCCCCCCCTCCCGATCCCACCCAACAAAAAATCTCAGTTGCGAGCAAAGTGATGTGAGCATGGTCAGACCGAGTACTACATCTGTTGGTAGCAATGACGGGGCCATCCGTGGCCCTCCTGGACAGCGAGACCCCTTCCATCCATTGTGGGTGGTTGACATTCGAGAATTCGGTGTAATCTGTCGATGCCGTGTCGTCCTTTGTAGCACCATGAGTTGTCTCAATCTTTTTCACAGATAAATACGAAAGTCTTCTTATATGTCTGTAAAAGATGACTGTCTTCAACACGTGACGTCACATCACGCGACGTCAATCATTGGCTCAATGGCGCGTACATTGTTTACATAGGACGTTACTGAATCGGGCAGATTGCTGCCTTTTACTCATTTTAATACCCATTTACACTAAATAGGAAATGATTTTTACCTACAAATACTTTTAACGTCTTTATTTATTTTTCTAATACATAAAAAAAGATCTCTTAGAATTTAATTTCTCGGAGGAAAAAAGTTAGCTCATGAAGTCGCATCGATGTCAATGTCATCCTTATCAGTGATTATAGCGGCCTAGCAAATATTCACTGCTGATAAGTGTGGGGTTGTCTATCAGCCGTGGAAAGCGGACATGTCGCAAAACCGGTCGCCACATCCAGCGTATGACCCATGCACTCTATTTTCTTACTACAGATCTTAGAACAGCCCTTGATCGCCTAGTATTGACCCTGGTTGCATTTGTAAGTCTCTAACTGGATAGGACGTATATTTAAATGCCCCTCTGACATCCAACGTTACCAGTCCCGAAATATCGTATGATTAACAAACAAGATGACAGGAACAAAATTACGGTTTCTACAGTTTTATATCAAGCTGGATACATAGTTATAAGCATAGATTATAATATAGTCATTTTACACTCTCCCAACCCCACCATTCTTCTACGACTTAACGGGGCATTCTGAAACCAGCTGGTGTCACTTGAACCTCAACGGTCTCTCCTCTCTTAGAATCTGCTTGGTGTCTACCCTAGAACGCACATTCTATTAATTATATACTCTCAGATTCACAGCTATTAATATTCTATTGGCTAATAGCCACACTATCATTGCCGATGTTGGACTGTGTGAAACGTCATATTATTTCATTTTCAATACATGTTCTATTTACACCATGATGACTGAACTATCTTGTTATGAATTTCCATTTGACGTAATTAGAAAATATAGTTGCATCGGAGATAGTCAACTTCCCTTGAATTTAAAATTTAAGACCAATTTTCTATTCCATCGATGATTGTATAAGTACATTTATGATTTGTTTACACACTCTTTTTTAAGTATTCAATGATTTTCCATAATTTATAAAATATTTATAAACTGTTGATATACATGTATACCATAAAAGACGTAGTTTAATGCATTCGTGACCTATTTACAATTTCTTCCTTGTTCTTTCATTTTATTGTTATTTAATAGATCGTTTGCTGTGGGTTTTACCCGCATACATGTGTCGGATCCAAAGGTCCGGGTTCGTATTATTTAAGCTTATTATGTTGGATTATTGTTTATAGTCACGAAACCAGTGTCGTATTTTTGTATTCAACTGTCGACATCGTAAACCAAAATTCGAACTAAAATTAGTAAGCCAATCGACTTCCGCTAAAATCTTCCTAAACAAAAATTTAATTGTGCAAAGATTACCGATTACTAATCGAAATAACACATCGGGTCAACCCAATTCAATTGAATTGCAATCCCCAATTCACAATCTGTCTGTGCGCATTCTGTATATAGGACAGATTGTGAACTAGGGATTGCAATTCTTTGCGCATTCATCTATATGTGCGCTGAGGGGTATACATCTATTATAGATCTATTATAGATGTATACCCCTTAGCGCACATATAGATGAATGCGCAAAGAATTGCAATCCCCAGTTCACAATCTGTCCTATATACAAAATGCCCACAGAGAATCAGGAGCTGAGGAATCAAAGAACGATTCTTTATTGAAGGATATACCCTTAAATTAAACATGCATTATGCAAGAGCAAAATCTGCTTATTACAAGTCTTTCTTTAGGCCTGAAATGTTATCTAAATTATCAATTAAACATTAATTAACTTATCCAGACCATAATAAACTCTCGATGTCAATCAAGGCTAGCCTTCGATGTTGGCTGGATTAGATTCCTATATGCCGCTAACGGCCATTGATAATTAAATCAATAAAAGTGGATAATCGAGACTATGCTGTTTATATTAATGATTTTAGTAATGATGACCGAGACTATGCAAAAATTTCACCCGCTTCTTTCTCGGCTCATAGTGGATCAATTTGACTGAAATTTTCAGCAAATTACCTTTACTCTATCTAGTTTTTAACTATTATAGCGAGAACTGTCATCTCTTTATCTTATCTCCCATAATGTATCTTTAAACTGTAACTAACATGAAATCATGTTGACGTCACATTTACTGCGCATGACGCCATGAATCACGTCCCTTGCCATTGTTAACGCTATACCATTAGCAACACAATGTATAAGTTACCCTGATGATCACTATGTTGTGAAACCGGTTGGTAATGAATTTATATGAAGACCAATCTTCAGTTTGTTATTTTTAAAGAATATATATATATAAATTTTAATTGTGTCTGGTCTTACACTAAATGGCCGAAAGTTAGAAGGGACAGCTCTTTGTCGTTGTAAGATTGACATAAAGTTGGATATTAGAACTACACTCGCAATGGACAAATGGGCACCGTTAGATCGTTCGTGAATTTACTTTTATGTGAAAATTATTAAATTTTCAAAATTTACGAATCGAATTTTCTTTTATGTGGAAATTATTAAATAATCAAAATTTACGAAAGGGGGAAAAAAATCACACTATCATAGGCTAAGTTAGTATCCTTTAGAACATCGGTAGCAGAACAAAAGTCAAGGTTCATTTGACGCATGCGCAGTAATCCTTACTGAGAACCGTTCTCACTCTCAGTCCTAATAGCGTTAACACTACGAAAATGTAACTGTATTAATGTGGTATGTTTACTATGTCATCAAGAAAATATAACTGCTGTATGGAATGTTTTAAAATAAAATGTCGCTAATAAAACAGGTGACTATACTATAGTGGCGCTAGACACTGTTTTAATAATATTTTTTAAACTTTAATTCTTTAGTCAATTTAATCAAATTTCAATTTCCAAAAATTGATGAAAAAAAAGATGATCGATGTCCGAAAAATGTCACTCAAAGTGAATTAGTCCGAATGGTATAAACCCTGGTCAATTCAGTACAAAATGAAACAGAGTTGTATTACAGTACTTAGAAACTCAAATGCCTATAACTACATACAATTGTGAATAGGCCTATACAATAAGAAAGTAAAGTCGTTGAATAGAAACATACCAGTGCATGTCATGTCGGCTAATTTAAAGGTGATTTGCACGGATTTGAAATGAAATGAAATGAAACGAGGTTAAACGTCCTACTGTTCTGCACCTACTGGGCTAATGGACCCAGAATGCCCCACTTAGTGTGCTTTGAGGGAAATTTTGCCCAGACAGCGGCGCTGTGATCTACTTTTATTTCAAATTCCAGCTCTCCTGTTTTTTTTACGTGCTCACTGAACCTCGATTGTTCATGCCACCCGAACAGTTATACCAGGCACCCGGAACCTAGTCGAAAAACCCGATGAATTTTCTCAGCGAACGTAGGAATCGAGAGAGAGAGAGAGAGGGAGAGAGAGAGAGAGAGAGAGAGAGATGGGGTTTAACGCTCACTCGACACAAACTAGGTCATTTCGGGACTAACATATCGTTGAATTTTATTTCCATAATTCGCTTGCGCGTAGGGGTCTTTAGCAGTGGGAGGAAACCAGAGGACTCTGTAAAAACCAACAAAGTTGGACAGGCGACCCTATTCCTTGTCACGTACAACCGGGGATTCGAAACCACGCCAGTTGACTCAATGACAGACTTTATGATACAGCACGCACGTGCTACCATTCAGCCATCCAACCCTCGTAGGAATCGA